GCTAATACGGAGGACTATATGGGAAAATAAATTGAACACACCAAAATGTAGTTGGGTTGATTTGGGTTCCAATACAAGTGTCTTTAAAAGGGGACGCAAAGAAATATCGCACATAATATTTGGCAAACGTTTCGCCAGCACAACTATGCTGGGAAGGCACGATATGGACCAATCATAGGCAAGACAGTGATCGGAAAACGCAGGAATCAGGCTGGCAAGGTGCTTGGGAGGGGGGTGCGAGAGTGCTACGGGAGTTTTGGCACAGAGTTTCGATATGGAAGTTTCGCAATTCGCCTGTTTTTTAATAGTAATTCAATGCGCTTATAGGGAATATATTTTTTAAAAAAAGGTGCGCTTACAATGAAATAACGGATATAAGAACGTTTGCACTCTATAAGCCTACTGGGCTTAATAAATGGCTGCGCCTACATCCGGGTGATTACGGTACTGTATGTTCTTCGAAATCCTCATGATTGGACGATATCACCATGCTCGACCTTGACTGCTTGAGCACTAAAACCATTGGAAATAATTCGATGCCTCGAGATGGTAGGACCTGGATGTTGTCAGCCAATGTCCGATATTGAAGAATATTAACCCGATGAACCTGTAAAGTACACTTGCGTGTTCGTATCCATCATCCAACGTAACGTCTGACAAGAAATTGGCCAACATTCTATGGGTTAAAGCGCGTGGTCCAAGAACAATCTTTACTCAAAATATCTTATTCTTGTTGCTCGCGAAACCCAACCTGAGTACACACGGCTACCCTGAAATCCAGCGACGAGACATAAACCTTGAACAACGAGAAGTTTTTGGTCGAGCCCCCAACCACAGCTGGGGTGCGACTGCGAGCATCGCACCTGCATCCAGCGATGACGGGAGGGTGGATCAAGACTCAAAGTGCCTAGGACTTACTTGGGACTCATGACCATGATGGCCGTAGCATAGGAGAAAGACGAGCTAACTCACCATGCTGTCTCATCTTTCCATCCCCGCGTCGCCCATATCCCATCCCCGCGTCGCCCATCTCCCTTCCCTCGTCGCACGTGCAGCCCTCCCTGCCTTCACCCTTCCCCTTGACATCCATCTCCCTTCGCCAAGTCGCCTGCAGCCCTTCCCTTCGACGCCCGTCTCCCGTCCCCCTCGTCACTATTCTTCGGGGAAACGAGGGATATGCGCGGGGAAAGCAAGGGATATGCACTGGACATTGAGGGAATAACGAGCGGTCTCTCCGTATCCCGCTCTACCCTTCTCCCTTTCCCCCTCTCCTGCTGTCTGTTGCCCCCTCCCCACCTCCCCGTATCCCACTCTCCTCCTCACTGCTCCCTCCCTCTCCTCCCCTCCGTATCACACTCTCCGCGCTATGTTTCCCCCGCTCTTCCTCCCCATTCCCCACGCTGCCCATACCCGTTTTCCCCTCCTCCTCTCTATCTTCCCCTCAGTTCCCCCTCTCATTCGCCTCAGTTCCCCCTCATTCCCCTCAGTTCCCCCTCTCATTCGCCTCAGTTCCCCCTCTCATTCCCCTCCGTTCCCCCTCTCATTCCCCTCAGTTCCCCCTCTCCTTCCCTCCAGCTCCCCCTCGTTTCCCACACCCCCCCCATCTTTTCCCCCCCCGCTCCATCTCCTTTTCTCCTCAGATCCCCTCTGCATCCCCTCTCTCTCCTCTGCCTTTTCCTCTATCCTCCTCTCCCTTTCCCCCTGTCCTCCTCTCCCTTTCCTTGTCCTCCTCCCCATTTCCCCCTGTCCTCCTCTCCCTTTCCCCCTATCCTCCTCTCCCTTTCCCCCTGTCCTCATCTCCCTTTCCCCCTGTCCTCCTGTCCATTTCCCCCTATCTTCCTCTCCCTCTCCCCCTATCCTCCTCTCCCTTTCCCCCCATCCTCCTCTCCCTTTCCCCCTATCCTCCTCTCCCTCTCCCCCTATCCTCCTCTCCCTTTCCCCCTATCCTCCTCCTCCTCTCCCTTGTCCTCCTCTCCCTTTCACCCTATCCTTCTCTCCCTTTTCCCCTATCCTCCTCTCTCTTTCCCCCTGTCCTCCTCCCCCCCCCCCCCCCCCCCCCCCCCTTTCCCTCTCATTCCTTTCCGCTGCTCCCATTGTCTCCCCCTGTTTAAATTCCACCCCCTTGCTCCGTTTCCCCCCGTGCTCCCCTGCTCTGTGTCACCCTGATTTTGTCGCCTACAAGGCGGGAGTGAGGTTGTGATGGCAGGACCTGACTCTTGCCTCTCAGCTCCTGCTCTCTTGCCTCTCAGCTCCCGCTCTCTTGCCTCTCAGCTCCCCCTCTCTTGCCTCTCAGCTCCCGCTCTCTTGCCTCTCAGCTCCCGCTCTCTTGCCTCTCATCTCCCGCTCTCTTGCCTCTCATCTCCCGCTCTCTTGCCTCGCAGCTCCCGCTCTCTTGCCTCTCAGCTCCCGCTCTCTTGCCTCTCAGCTCCCGCTCTCGTGCCTCTCAGCTCCCGCTCTCTTGCCTCTCAGCTCCCGCTCTCTTGCCTCTCAGCTCCCGCTCTCGTGCCTCTCAGCTCCCGCTCTCTTGCCTCTCATCTCCCGCTCTCTTGCCTCTCAGCTCCCGCTCTCTTGCCTCTCAGCTCCCGCTCTCTTGCCTCCTAGCTCCCCCCTTCTTGGCCTCAGCTCCCCCTCTCCTTGGGCTCAGCTCACCCACTCCTTAGCCTCAGCTCACCCGCTCCTTGGCCTCAGGTCATCCTCCTAGTCCCCTCTGCTCACCCCTCATTCACTCACTAGCCCCTTGCCATCTGCCTCCCCCTTTCCTAACTCTCCCAACATTGGGTCATGACACGCGCAGGGCACAGCACGCATCAACTTGCACTCCCCGCCTCTTCCACGCTCTCCCTCACACGACCACACCCTTTAGGCTTGTGTTGATACAGAAACGTTATTATGAGATACTCTGTTTGAAAAGGAATTAACGATTGGACGTAACAGCCATAATGCATCTATCCTATGAAGCTGCAGGGTGAACTATAGCTGTGTCGCGGGTTCCGGCGTTTCCGACAGGCTAGTTGCGGACGATGAACGGGACTTCAAAACTATTTCGGCAATGGGCGAATCCGACGATTTCGGAACGACACGATCGCACGAGGACGTGCGGGTGTACAGTTGTGTGGGAGCAGCTGGGATGAAGGACCTCGGCGCTATTCACCACGACGGCCATCTGGAGGTGATGCCGCTGTGCTGGATTGAGTGTACTCAACGAGGACGACTTCCCACGTGGGGAGGCGTTTTTCGTGGACCAGCGATTCATACCCCCACAATCAACGGAAACGGAGGCCCCCACCATCGGGTGTGTATTAAGTGTTTTTCCACCAGTCGTCGAAAGCGTTAACTGACATGAGCTAAAGTAGCGGAAGAAGAACGACGGGAGTAAGTGATCAGTTAAGGGTTAGCGGCGTTCGGGTTACTGCTCGCTCAACTAAGTCGCCCGAAAATCACCATCCCCACCAGGTAGGAGTGCCGACTTATTAATCGACGGCTTCTAACTGAATAAGGGGGGTGAACCTGCGAACTACACTGTGCTGATGGAGTGTCCCCAAAATTTTAGGAGTTACTGTTGCAGCGAAGGTGGGGGTTTTACCTGGTGCAGCAGAAAGAGTGTCCGGAGTTTTCGGGTATAGTTCGACGAGTTTCCGACGGAGGAAAATATGTCAAGCGGTCAGTAGGCGAGCTCGTTAAAGCTCCTCTAACTAGAAGCGTGCGCATTTATATCTATGTGGATTCTCTTAGTTAGTTAAGTAGCAGTGAAGCGGTTTTGGGTAACATGCAGCAATCGCGAGATGGGTGAACGTATGCACGGCCAATTGGCAGGGGTACTAGAGTATTTTTAAGAAATTTGGGTAGTAGCTGGCTGGAGATCGACGGCGTATGATGTGCATTGACCCTGATCGATGGTCAAAACATCATGCCGAGTCAGTGGACTCATGTGTTCCCTTATATAATGGGTTCAGTTCATGCGTACAGCTGGTGGAGCAATCGTGGGGGCGCTGCTAAAGGTCGTTGCGACGCCAAGTGTTTTACGGGTAGCTGTGAAGCGGAGTTACGGTATTTGCTAAGTACCGGGTGGTTCCGACTTTTTTAGCTGAAGCGGATCATGGACTTACAGCTGGAGGGTACAAACAACATCTACCGAATTTTGCGGAGTATTCTGGGTACATGGAGCGGAGGGAGAGCAGTCTTTGTTTCGGCAGTGTACTTGCTGACATGGCACCACCGGGGCAGATGTCGTTTACAGCCTCGTCACTCCGCACGTTTCGCCACTCATTCGCGAAATGTTCAAGTGCACTTGCCCAAAAAATGGGCGAGCCCACATCAGCGAATTTCAGGCACCAATCGAGGCTTGATGAAACTCGCGAAATTTGAACTCGTCGAGCCAATCCCATCGCCACTCCACTCGCGGAGGTTGTTTCCCGAATCCCCAAAACTTGAGGCCATCCCCTTGCCTGTGGCTATCGAGTGTGCAACATCAGATCTGCAAGAGTCGGCGCGCTCTATTGCTCGCGAACAATGCCTCGATTTCAGCGCCCCTCCGCGGAGCGCTCTCCGCCAATCAAGCAGCTTCGTCGCTTACCCTCCACAACCTGGAATTTCGCCCGACCTTGCAGTCTGCATCTCCACGCCTTGAAATTCGCCTGAGCTTGCTGCACAGCTTGGATGGAGGTGCAGGCGCGCAGCGCAGCTCCTGCGGCTCCGCTCCCCCCGCCCACTCCTCCTCCCGCGCAAGAGTGACACTCACCTCCACGCCCCTCCAGATTCTAGCCTGATGCTCTCGAGGAGGGCTTGTTCCAAGAGTAGGTCTGCTGTGCGAGCTGTGCGGTTCAATATGGTGCATCGTGTTTGAAAACGGTGAAGAACGAGAACCATTTTCTAACGTGTCGAATCGTACATCACCGCTTCCAGTGGATGCGGGACCATCTCTTGGATCACGCCCTCAGGTTCATTCATTCGTGCAGCTGTATTCCCGAGGAACAGCTCACATGCCGCAAAAGTTCCCTGTGTGGTCAACGAGCGGGAGAAAAGGTTATTTCACCGTTCCCTGTGTTTTCATCTCCCTGTGTGAAGCGTTGAATGACTAGTTTCACGGTTCTGCAGCATCCAACCTACGACAGCAACGGAGCACGCCATTGTGGAGTGCTGAACCGGAGAGGCGTGAATTCAACGCCCCGCTAGCGCAAACAAGTCATTCCGACAATCGCTTTGATTGCCTAACACTCTCGTTGGGACACTCTCTCCGTCGAATAATCCGTCGATATCTCCGGGGTTCTTATTCCGAGTCGTCTCGAATTTCACTATCTCGCAGCAACTCGACATGGCAGCCATCAGGTCGCCTCTCGCGCTCCAGGCGGTCTCAGCATCCTCCGCTTCTTCTTCCGTTTCTTCCTCCTCGCCACGCGGGCGAGTCCCTTCTTCCAGCCTCTTCGCCCAACCGCTCCCCCTACGCGCATTGCGGCTCCGCCGGCGGAGCGCGGATTCGCTCGAAGGCAAGCGTGGGGGAGCACTAGCCATCCGCTGCGCCATAGCGCAACCCATGCCGGGGCTCGGCGCAGGGCTTGGCGCAGGGCTGGGCGCAGCAGTTGGCGCGGGGAACCAGATTCCCCTTCCTTTCGCGAACGACAGGTGGTGGGAGCGGCGCGTGCCTGCCAACATGCGCCACGTGGCGACCACAGCGGAATTCGTGGAGGCGCTAGCGGCGGCGGGGGATAAGCTCGTGGTTGTGGATTTCTTCGGGACTTGGTGCCGCTCGTGCCGCGCCATGCATCCCAAGGTAAGGAGAGCCGTTGTATGAAGGACGGTTTTTTTCGGGACGGTTTTTTCGGGACGGATTTTTCCGGGACGGTTTGTTTCGGGACGGTTTTTTTCCGGGACGGTTTTCTTCGGGACCTGGTGCCGGTCGTGGCTCGCTCTTCCCTCCCCCTCTTGCGCGCTTTGCGTGCCAACTCCGTCTTGCCTCCTGGTATTGAACGCCCTTTCTCGGGACCTGGTGCCGCTCGTGCCACGCCATGCATCCCAAGGTAAGGAGGAATAGTCACTAGCGTTGCGAGTAAAATCCAACTTGCGTCCTTACCTCCTGGAAAGAAACGCACAGGAACAGTCACTAGCGTCGCTGCGTTGCATTACTTTCCGCGCATTTCTCCTCCTCCCTTTTTTTTCCTCCCCATATCCTCCTGTTTCCCTGGTAACGTACGGTTCTCTCCCCTCTCTACTCCCCACTCGCGCTGGCATCGGCGAAGCACGCTGACGTCATCCTCCTGCATGTGTTCTCCCGGTCGCTCCCCAGCAAGCAGCTCTGCCGGTCGCTCCCTCCCCCTCCCCCCTGCACTGTCTCCCCTCTCCATTCTCCTCTCCCTCCGTCCCTTCCCCTCGCCCATCCCCCCTCGCCCATCCCCCCTCGCCCATCCCCCCTCCCCATCTCCCCTCTTTTCCCCCATCAGCTGTGCATGCTGGCATCGAAACATCCTGACGTCATCTTTCTGCAGGTGGAGTTCGACCCCAACAAGCAGCTCTTTCCCTTTCCGCGCTTTTTCCTCTGCATGCCACGTGACAGCTGTGCATGCTGGCGTCGAAGCATCCTGACGTCATCTTCCTGCAGGTGGAGTTCGACCCCAACAAGCAGCTCTGCCGGTCGTTGGGCATCAAGCGACTGCCGTTTTTCCACTTCTACCGGGGCGCTGACGGGCTGCTGGACGCGTTCACTGCCACCCTCACCTCGGTACGTTGCACAATGAAAGACCACGTTTGTGCGTTTGTGCGTTTGTGCGTGCGTTTGTTCTTAGTAAAATAAACTAACAGCCAGCAGCTGTGCCGGAGCTTGGAATCAAGCGGCTGCCCTTCTTCCCCTTCTACTGCTGGACTGACGGGCTGCTCGACGCATTCACTGCCATCCTCACCTCGCATTCACGCATTCACTGCTACGCGCTCATTTTCTTTGAGCCCTGGTTTTTTCTGGGGCGACTAAACCGGCCCTCACACAGCTGCTGTCTTTCCACTTCTGCATGGGCCAATGGGCCGCTGGACCAATGGGCCGCTGGACCAATGGGCTGCTGGACCAATGGGCTGCTGGACCAATGGGCTGCTGGACGCATTTGCTGGCATTCTTACCTGGTGGTCTATGAGTCAAAGGCTAAGCAACATAAAGCGACTGCCATTGTTCCACGTCTACCTGCCAGGCTGCCTGCCACTTTCACCTGCCATCTGCATCGCCGTCCATGGCTCCATCTTATCCTTTCTTGGTACCTTCCCTCCCACACCCACTTCGCAATCCCAGAATAGAGTGGTGTACTCCGTTAGCCCCGCGCCGCTCCCATCCCTCCATCCATTTCGGTCCTTTTTCGAGCACGATTTTAACTGTTCTCTCTTGAATCCCCACCCCCCCCCCCACACCCACTCTCCCCCCCCCCCCCCCCCAAACCCTAACACCGTGACTCTTCCATGACGTGTTTCACTTCAGATTGCTAAAGTAAAGGAGGCTCTGGCAATTCACAACACAGACAGATGCTCCCTGGGGCCTCCAGCGGGACCCCACCAAGTCTTACACCCTGATGAAATCACAGCAACACCCTGATACCGCTCCCAACCCTTCAGTTGCTGCTCCTGCTGCTGGTTGACCTGGATCTGGTTGATGCTCCCTGGGGCTTCCTACAGAGGCCCAGCAAGTGCTGCATCCTGAGAACGCTCCTATCCTCTTGTCTTCATCTGTGCTCCTGCTGCTGGTTGACCTGGATCTGGTTGATGCTCCCTGGGGCCACCTGGAGAGGCTCACCAAGCCGCGCTTCCTAAGAACACCCCCAGCCCTTTTTTGCACTGAGTGCTGCTGCCGAAACCCAGTCTGCTCTCTGCCTACTCTTTCTGCTGCTCTTGCTGCTGCTGCTGCTGTTCCTGCTTTTGCTCCTGCTCCTGCTCCTGCTCCTGTTCCTGCTTCGGCTGCACAATGCTGTGCTTTCATGTAAATATGTTGCAGTGAGGAATCGTCTTGCCTCGGTGTTGTTTAGTCAGGCTTGGTTGTGGCTTGCTCATTTTTATGTAATTTATGGCTTGATGTTTGCCAGTTTTTGTGCGATTTATGGATTTTACTCACCCAGGGTGGGCACTCAGCATATTTGGTGGCTGACTTATAATACACCAGAAAGTAGTTGGTTTCTGCAATGTAGAAGAAGAAACTGTCAAACATATCTTTGTATGTTGTAATAGACTATACAGGGTTGTGCCTTAGAGAGTACAACCCATTAGGTTATATTCCGTTGTACATGTTATCAAACAGTGAAATTGATAAATCGAGAGAGAGAGAGTACACAAACATATACCTAATAGTTGTACTCTCTAGAAGATGACCCTATACAGTCTATACAAGCATGATAACTAAACAAGTTTGACACACCCCCTGGACTGCATAGGGGAATGTTCTAGACAAGCAGCTCAGGGTGGCACTACTAGTCCAGCCTCTGAGACAAGGGTCTAAAAGACCAGTCAGAAGGAGTACAGGCAAGGCAAGAACTAGTACAGGGCGGCACTACTAGTCCAACCACTGTAAGAGGACACAAGTCCAGTCTAGGTGTACACACAGATATATAGGACAGTACAAAGTCAAGGCCCGAGTAAGTGAGAGACTACAGGAACCAGACCAAGCTGTACACAGTGCCGCTGATGATCTTTAGGCGCAAGCGCCTTCGTAAAGATATCAGCTGTGTTGGCACCGGAGGCTAAGTGTACTACGCGAGCCTGGCGACGCTGCTGTAGCTCACGCAGGAGGAAGTACCGCAGCTGGATGTGCTTCGCTCTGCCCTCGAGTCGAGGCTCCTGACACAGGAGGATCATGGCCCTGTTGTCAGCGTACAGGACCGGGGCAGAGCTAGGCCGCTCACCTAAGTCAGTGAGCAAGAAGGTCAGCCAGCGGAGCTCCTGTGCCGCCATGGCACCGGCGTAGATCTCGGCCTCACAGCTGGACTGGGCAACAGACGAAGAGCGGGTAGCTCTCCACGAGACAGCACCTGAGCCAAGGCTAAAGCAGTAGCCCTGGGAAGACCTGAGCGTCTCGGCGTCGTCTGCCCAAGAAGCGTCTGTGTGTCCAGTAAGGACCACTGGCCTGCGTCCGCCTAGCACTAACTCCATGCCCGATGTACTTGCAAGATAACGCAAAACCCTCTTAGCGGCAGACCAGTGCTGAGGTCGGTGTCTGCCTGTGGCCACGAAACGAGCCAGGATGCTGAGAGGGTATGCGAGATCTGGGCGAGTGCAAGTCATAAGGTACATGAGGCAACCCACTAGCTCAGCGTAAGGACCACTGGGATCTACCGACTCCTCAGGAACTGGAGCGGAGAGTCTGTGGTCCAGAGGAAGAGGGGTGGGCTGTGCTGAGGAGAACTGAAGGCCGAACCTCTGAAGGACCTGGCGCACCAAGTGTGACTGAGTCAGGGTGATGGTGCGCGCGGCTCTGTCCCTGGAGATCTGTAAGCCAAGGTAACGGCGCAGCTCTCCAAGGTCAGTGCAGGTGTGTCTCTTCAGCAGCTCTGCCTTCACGGAGGCCAGTGCGTCCCTGTCAGCAGTGGCAAAGACCAGGTCGTCTACGTAGACGAGGATGTAGAACGGAGTCGAGCCAGCACGAACGAAGAGCGAGGGGTCTGCAGAGGACGGAAAGAACTGCAGGTCAGCAAGGGTAGCACGCAAAGTGTCGTGCCACTCACGAGACGCCTGGCGCAGGCTGTAGACTGGCCGCCGCAGAAGCCACTGGGTCCCAGGGGGGAAGGTGCCAGTAAAGCCCTGAGGGCGACGCAGGTAGACCTGCTCGTGAAGGCTGCCCTGAAGAAAGGCAGTGGAGAAGTCGAGGGAGTGAAGCTCGTAGTCACGCTGAGCCGCTACGTGTAGCAGAACCCGAAGAGTAGTCATCTTCGGGGTAGGAGCGAAAGTCTGAAAGAAGTCCACCCCCTCGCGCTGACTGAAGCCTCTAGCCACGTAGCGCGCCTTGAACACAGGCGGCTCTCCAGGAGGGCGCTTCACCTTGAAGAGCCAGCGGCCATCGACCACGTTCACCCCAGGTGGGGGAACTGCGTCGACGAAGGTGCCGGTGGATCTCCAAGATGCCATCTCCTGCTCCATGGCAGCTATCCACTGAGAGGCCCAGGGTCCCGAAACCGCCTCAGCGTAAGTACGAGGGGTCGGGATGTCGAAAGCGTCTGTGTCACCCTCAGGGACTAGCAGCATGGAACAGAGATGGGGAGCAGCCTCGGACAGGAAAGCAAGCTCAAACTGGCGGTCCTCTAGGACGTCACTGCCGAGGGCAGGAGCACCCCCGACAGACGGAGGACAGGCAGGGTGAGAGACCAGAGCGGTGGCGTAGTCAAGGCGGCGGGTAGAGGCGAAGTCAGCGACCGCAGCGACGAGGGCGTCAAGACTCGACACTGGAACAGACGGGTCGGTAACAAGAGAGGCAAGGACCCGAGGAACAAGAGGACGAGCGGCACGAAAGTAGTCGGACAGAGGAGGAGACGCAACGACAAGAGAAGACGGAGGAGGAGACGGGAGGAGGGGAGGACGAGACGCGTGGGAACGGAGCAACATAGGGTGAGAGCGCGGGACAGGGGAGACAGGACGAGCACGAGCGGGGCGGCGAGACCAGACGTGTGAGGGCGGCGTCGGGTCAGGAGACAGAGGAGGGGACACAGGAGGGGAACGAGGGGGAAGACGAGCCGGGGACGAGTCTGGCAGAGGGAACACGGGGCCGTAGACGGGAAGAGGGGGAGACGGCAGGAGAGGAACAGGCGCAGGGTCAGGAGACGGGAGGCCGAGCAGACGGAGGGCGGTCACAGGCGGGGACTGCTGCTGCGGCGACACAACACCAACACCAGGGCCACAAGCTGCGCGACGGCTACCTCCCGAACCCTCCACACCTGCACCCCCAGAAGGGACACCCCCAGAGCCCGAAACCCCGCCAGCACCGGTACCACCCCCAGGCCCGCCGGGACAAGCCACGACAGGAGCCCCGGGACTAGTACCCACCTCAACGCCAGCACCCCCAGAGTCCACAAACGGCGGCAGGGACGACAGCGGCGGCGGCGGCGGCGGCTGCAGCGACGGCTGCAACGGCGGCGGCGGTGGAGACGACGGCTGCAGCAGCTGCGGCGACGGCGGCTGCGGAGGCGGGGGAGGAGGAGACACCGGGGGAGGGACAGACGGCGAGGACTGCGCCGGAGGACTACCAGAGTCAGAAGACTCGTCGACCGGGACGACCGACGGGAGGGGGGTGACGTGAGACACACCAGAGGGGGCCGGACGGGGGGGCGGGGGGGGGGGGGAGGGGCAGGGACCACCGGGGAAGGAGGGACCAGGAACAGGGGGGGAGTAACCGGGGGACCACGGTGAGGGAAGCGGCGGTAGAAGGAGACGGACTCGTCAAAGGTGACGTCGCGAGAGTGAAAGAAGCGGTGGGACGGCGGGTGGTAGAAGTGCCAGTCAGACGCGTCAAGGGGGAAACCGAGGAAGACGCAGGGGAGGGTGCGGGCAGTGAGCTTGTCCGTGCCAGAGGCACGAACGTGGGCAAGGCAGCCCCAGACGTGGAACGCAGACGCGTCACCAGGGGACCCGGTCCACAGAAGGGTCGGCGAAACCTGCGGCCGCTGGGGGTGCGGCCACAGGTTAAGCTGGTGAGCGGCGTAGCGCACGGCGAACGGCCACAGAAAATGGGGTGCACCGGCGTGGATCATGGAGGTGCGAGCCACCTCCATGACCAAACCGATGCGTCGCTCAGCGACCCCATTCTGCTGCGGGGAGTCCGGCAGGGTAAACGTCTGGGTGATGCCCTCCGCACGACAGAAGCGACCAAGGACACCTGAGGCAAACTCGCCACCCCGGTCGGAGTGGAGGCGCAAGGCAGGGAGACCGCGGTGGACACGAGCAGAGACAAGCCAGGGGATGAGAACGTCAGGCACGTCGGCCTTCCGCTCCAGGGGGAAGACGGTGGTGTAGCGCGTGAAGTCGTCGACAAGCACTAGGAAGAAGCGCTCGCGACGCGGCCCATGGACCGGGGCTGGGCCCCAGACGTCCATGTGCAGAGTCTGCAGTGGTGCGGTGGTAGGGGGAAAAGAGGAGGAGTGAGGGGCACGGCGGAGCCGGCCCTCGACACAAGGCGTGCACGGTGGGGCGGGGGAGGAGGGAAAGTCGGGGAACGAACCGGGGAGACCAAGGACGAGACCGTGCTGGGACATGTGACGCAGACATGGGAGTGCAGGGTGACCAAGGCGGTGGTGCCAAAGGAGAGTCGGGTGAGTGAGGGACCGACAGGAGCACGCGGCAGCAACCTGGGTGGACGCAGCTACCGGGGGGGAAGACCCAGCCGGGGACGTCGCGGTGTCAAGTGTGAACAGGCCGGACACCGGGTCCCGGGGGAAAGTGGTAAGGGGGGCACCAGTGGCGGCCTCGGTACAGACAGCATACCGCTCGTGACCAGGGAACGTAGTGGTGACGCCAAGGTCCTGGAGGCAGCCGACACCAACTAGGTTCCTGGAGAACGAGGGGATATGCAGACCGGTGAGCGAACCTGAAGGAACCGCCGGACAGGGAAGGGAGGTGGAACTGCGGGCAACGACGGGACCACCGGAGGGGTCAGCAAGAGTAACGGCAGCGGGAACAGGCAGCGGCGTCAGCGTCGTGGAGTTGCGGAAGAAACACCGGGAGGCGCCAGAGTCCAAGGTGAAGGAAAGCGCAGCAGTCGCGTGAGGCGGCAGTGAAGCGGTGGAAGCACCAAGGCTAAGCAAAGCAGGAGATCCTACGCCTGACGCAGCAGGGGAGTCTACGCTAGGCACCGCTACACTAGGCAACACGGGGTAATAAGAGGGAAGCACACTAGAGTCATCAGCATACATCACATGCAAGGCTGCTACAATGGCATCCATGTCCAAGTCAAAAATCCTAATGCGACGCCTAAGCAAGCTGTGCCAGTCTGGGAGGTCGGGCGCCGGGCCAAAGCGCTGGCGGAACAGGTCGTCCAGACGACGAAAACAGCGAGGAGTAGAATGACCGATCTTACCGCAAACGAAGCCGCGGCGAGGACCGGTCTGGATCTGGTACTGACAGGGCCCGCCTCCAGAACCACCACCCGGTGCACCACCACGCGCACGACCACCACCA